CAACAACCCAACAGAATGGCCTAGAGATTTGTTGTGAAGTTATGTGAGCTTTCTCAGGGTAACGCATCCATAAATGACGGCTTAATCTATTTAATGTTTACCTTACATTTTGGGGATCATTTGACTATGAAAGAAGGGCATTATTACAGATGATTGTGACATAGATACAGGGTAGAAAGAATTTTGAATTCAAGTTTGGGTATAACAATGTAATTGATACTGTCAAATGTAATTTGATCCAAGACATGGAATTTAAAACAATACTATTTAAAAATGAGTCTGAAAGAGCAAACTAAACGAGAAAATCTACTAGACGGAACAAGTGCAGATATGATGAAAGAGTAGAAGGTAACAGCCTTACTAATGATAGGAGAGAAAAAATGAAATAAAACAGAATGCCTCATCAGCTGTTTCCTGTGTTGTTTCAGTACGGCATTTAGTCCCTTGGACAAGCTGCTGGTGATAGAACAAGCCTTCAATGAGATTTCGAAGGTAAGGTTTCTGAGATGTCCAATTTTATCATGTTTTTTTTGTTTTGTGGGGATAAAGGTTTTGAAAGTCTTTGGGGCTGTGTTTAGAGGAAGTCCAGAGGAAGAGCAATGCAGGTTTGTGTAAACACTGCAACCACTAACTTATTCCCCCCTCCCCCCACCCCCCACACCCCCACCCACACCCCTTCTAACTGTGTTTTTTTGCTTCTCTCAGGAATACTGTTTGTAGCTTCAGCTCAAATGTCTATATACCCGACGAAAACTGGAGTATGCTGTCAAATTTATCAACAAACAGCTGAACTGAAGCTTTGACTGGCTTAGAAAGAGCTTGAAACTACTGTATATAATTGTGTACATGATGCAAGCACAGATAAGGCGCATTTAACCTTGAGAGTCAAAATTTGTTATAAATCAATATGTTTGTCGGATAGAACACACCAATTTATTGATGGCAGGCACCATCTCCTTTGTGGATTTTTCAACTTGCCCATTTCTCGTCAGCAGTCTTAGATCCAGCCCTCTAGTGCTACAAAGAGCAGCCATTTTGTTTTAAAGTGATGGTGTCCTGATTTTTTGTACCTCATGAATAAAACGCAGGGCGGCTTTGAAGTTTTGATTTTTAGATAAAAAGTTGCATCACAATAATATGGGATAGAAGAAACACATTGATGACTCACAGAAGGATACAACAGCCATTTCAATATGGTTTTTCAAACAGTAAACATTTGAGATATAACATTACAATTTTGGACCATTTATTTTCACAAGTGTTTGCAACAATAATAGCCAAAATTGTTTTAAGGCGGCCACCCATTGTCAAGGAGAAAAGTGGTCTTCTTAGACAGGTGGCCATCTTACACAGTATCATTATAATTTATAAAAAAATGAAGGGGTAATGAGAAATAACGGTTTGTCCAGGTGGTGGTTGTCTTATACAGGTGGCCATTAGAGCAGGTTCTTTTGGATATGAATGGATAATATTTCTTCCCAAATTCACAAACACACACTCACACGCCAATTCAAGGTCATACAGCCTATCTTTCAACTTAAAGGATTCTTTTTTAAAACTTGTCAATTGAAAATTCGTATGTGGATATGTTTAACATTCAAATGCGCTCATCTGTCTGTGTGTCTAGCGTGTGACTGCTACAGTGAAGGAGAATGTTCTGTGGAACATGGATGACCTGTTCCCCATCTTCCAGTTCGTTGTGGTTCGTGCCAAAATCCACCACCTCGGAGCAGAGCTGCAGCTCCTGGATGACCTTATGGAACTACACATGGAGCACGGAGAGCTTGGCCTCATGTTCACCACACTCAAGGTACACACATAAAGGCGGATGGGTTCCACTTCTTTTCTTTCTCTTCAATGTTTCTCTCTGTCTGTCTGTCTTGTCATTTCTCAGAATTAAATGATCATTATTGTGTTGATGTGTTTCTGTTTATTCAAACAAGCAAACAAACACGCATATATTGCACAATGTCTTCCTCCTCCAATCTGGTGATCATTTAGGTGGTGTGCCACTTCAACCCTGCCTGTGGGTGGTTGGCGGGTGCTCTGGTGTGGTTTGCTTTTTCTTTCCTATGAAACATCTATGGTCCTAATCTCCCCTTTTTCTTTTTTATGTTTGTTACTCTCTTGTAACTCCTCTAATCTTCTGCGCTTATATGACCTTATGCAGTTGCAAGCGCCGTAAAACCTCTACTAAAACTAAAAACAACCCTGCTTGTCCATGCCAGCAACATCTGTGCGTGTAACAACATTCTCAATAAGACATATTTTCCCACGCAAGAATCAGACCGCCGTCGCTTTTGTACAGAGTGACTATGCCACCCCCCAAATGCCTGTGCTGCTTGAACCCTGCCTGCCAGTATTAGCTGCAAGTGTGGTTACAACATTCTTGGAAAAGGACAGAGATATGGAACATGATATCTTGCCCCAAACAAGACCCAAACTATCGTTTTTTGGGTGCCACAATTAGAGCCCAATCATGACACCATAAATACCTGTCCAAATGGACTTGCAAACAATATAGCAAAAAGTTCAGATTATTGTTTTTGCTGGCTTTATTATCTTCCGGTGAGAAAGCTTGGTGTTAAAGACAAATTGCCTTTCCTTTGACATAGAATAATTCACCATGACTTAAAATAATTTTGTAATGAGACAGTAGAAAGGTGAGCTTTCATCATGTCAGCTAGACCAATTAACATAAAGGCTTTGAGTTACAGTCACATTCTTACCAAGGTGAATCTTTAAACTTTGTACTGTTGTTTCACTCCTACCCTTATAAAGCCAGACAACAACTTTTGTGTTTATATCTCTCCAGGCATGCTACTTCCAGATTCAGAATGAAAAGATGCCACATCACTGAACCAGATAATAGATTCGACAGACTGAGCATTTCATCTGGTTGCATATATGTGTTCATCTTTCATCAACATATTTGTGATGATATCTTTCCTTGTGATATATATGTATGTGTCTATGTATATTGAATACATTTCCCATTTATTTTATATCTTGCTTTGCTCAAATATTCTGCTAAAAATCTTTACTTCTTCATGAGTTTTCGATTCCTGAAAAGCTGTTCCTGTTGATCATGTGGATGTTGAAAGACACATCAGGTAGCTCCACATTCTTTTATATTTGCTTTGTGTTTCCATTTTACGGACTTGGTTTGTGCCAAGTACTCATAATTTCGCTTGCTTATTTTTTGCCGTCTATTGTCACTCAAATAAAGGATCACTCCTTAATTAAAAAAGAAGGAACACTCAAGCCTCACTATACCACTCATCCTAGGACCCTGAAGAAATTACTGTCATGTTGGGAGAAGAAGAAAAAAGGATCTTCATTATCCTGTATCTATTACATAGCTTTGGACAGAAGGGCAAGAGCCCAGCTGTTGCTGGATCGGTAACAATAACAACATCCTGTATCAATTATAAAAATAGATTATTTCTGATTCAGTCCAGTTTCCAAAAGTGGTAACTCATGTTGAAAACAGACAACAGTTTCATTGAAGCTTACCATCCAGTGTTTGAGGATCTAATTCTCTTCTGCACAGCATATGAGTGGCCTACAATTGGATTTGTCTTTGTCAAGGTCCATGCAGTTGCTTCATATGACTTTGACTTCCTGTCTAACGAGAAAGGACCTTTTCTATTTTTCTCTATTGCGTTACTACGTAAAAAAACATAAGACCCAATTCTGTTTGTCTTTACTGAGGGAGTCTGTAAATTGACACAGGATCCTATTCTATATTTCTCCTTTGAGTTCAATGACATCACAGCACAAAATTCATAACTTCAGTGTACATTGTTCCCAAGGGGTTTTCCTTTTTTTTGTGACAAAACAAGCTTCTTTCCAAAGAGGCTGTTGTAGTTGAAGTAGGCTCATATAGAATTTTGCTTTTGTTTTATCTTTTTAGTTTAGTTATTTCTTTTTTAATTTAGAGGTGAAATGTTGATGGTGAGCAGGGCTTGCTTTGCAGTGAGTAGTGGTAAATAAATGGAATTCAACAATGGCTAGAGTCTGTAGGGAGTGGATACGACAGACGTAAGAATGTACAATAATTGGTGCTACAGAAGAGAGTGAAAGTTTTATGTCCATTTAAACCACTGCAAGTTGTCCTTTAGAGATTGTTATATTTTGAAAATGTGCTTTGTCTCTCGTTCTTTAAACTTAATGTTTACAAAGAAATGCTCAAAAATCATGTTGGTAACTAATCTTCAAAGTGATAGTCAAGTGCTATCTCGAGAAAGTTGAAATGCCCGTGTGGGTTCTTTTGATTTTGTTAAAACACTTCATATACACCCGAACCTACTTGTAATGCCATATAATTTCAAAGAAATGGCAGAAATTTGTTCACCAAAATATGAAGTCAGGTCCTTTTACATCATTCACAAATCGTCACAAAAATGGCAGACTTTTTTCTCTTGTCAAAAGATTTGTGGTAGTAGTTTAAGTGAAGTGAATAATTTGCCTGGGATGGTGACAACATATTACTCTGTGTGCTGTGTTTTTGATAAGTCGACTTGGTGCTTTTAATGTTTTAAATATATGTATATGGTCAGATGATGTGAAACGCCTAAAAATACTCTTTTTCTGTAAACTTTAGCTACATATCCCATGTTTTACATCTGCATTTGTGTTGTAATTGTAAAATCATTCACCTCGCTGGCTAATGATATGAGTTTAATCCCCATGTGGAGAGATAACGTTTGAGCGTCTCTGTCTTTCTGCTGGGTTGTTCTCCACATGTCCTGGATAGGCATGGAGAAATAACAACAGTATGTTTATGATTAATACCTTTTTTTATCTACTGATTATTGAATACGTTCTTTCCAAGCGTGTAAGTACGGTACCATGTTTTTGCCATGAGCCCAAAGCTTTTCTTAGGGGATGGGAGGGAACCACAGGTGGGTCCTACATTTGTACAATCCCTCTCTTGTTCCTATAAATCTTGCTTTTACCCAGCTCCTTTGTTGTGTAGATTTCCATCTCTTCTACTCGGACTACGGCTTTTTTTTAATGCTCAGAAGGATAAGATGAGGGCAAAAGGATGTAGCAAGACTGAAGAGCACTTGTGCCGTAAGCTAACGAAACACCTTTATTCATTTTTGGCGCCAGATTTTAACTTTTGCTAAATCAAAAGCCTTATCAGTTACCTTACTTGTGTAAAAAAAAATCAAAGTGGAACTCTGAATAGTTTTTTTTAATAAATTAGAATTTAAATTTCGGAAGAACACTATTTTTAGATTGGGGAATTTTAAAAAAAGGCTTTTTGTCAGCTTACGGCGGACTTGTAGCTCTTTCTATGCCAGTTCACAATACATCGTTGATGTCCAGTGCCATGTCTGTGACATTCTACAATCTCTCGTCAATATGGTATGTTGTCCCTGCTTTCTTTCAATGCCTTCTTATCCATTCCGTGTATTCTTATTTTTAAAAATTTAATACAATCATCTTCTGCTATTTTGTTTTAGTGGATGATATGAAGGTGCCACTGGTAGGTCTTACTTTCTTCTTCTTTCTCTTTGTTGTTTTTTTCTGTCTTAGTTTCTCCTAGCGTTCAATGAAGGTTACTGCGTCAGTGTAGTGTGCTTTTCTGTACTGAAATTTTTAAAACAAAAAGTTATTCTTTTGCATTCAATACTGTGGTGTGGTTTGCTCCTTCTTTCCTATCTAACAACTATCGTCCTTATCTTTCCTCCTTCTTTTTTATGATTGTTGCTCCTCTTGTAACACCTCTAATCTTCGGCACTTATATGACCTAATTGTGTTGCAAGTGCCGTAAAACTCTTACTAAAACTAAACTAAGCCTTCATTTTGTATTTACTTTGTTTACTTTACTTGATGGAATAAGTCAAGCAACTGATCTCAATAAACACCACCTTCAACTTGTCGCTTTTACGACACAGTGGTCTGACACATCTATGGAAACCCCCTCTGGCATGGAAAGAGTGAATGAGCCTTGTCAACAGCTGCTGCTTGCTTTTTGTTTTTAAGCAATAGCTGAGGATCTGCATGAAACATGTGTGAATATGGTGTCAACATGTCAGTATGTCATTTGTCTTTTCAACAAAATGCATTTTTACCTCAAACAGAAAGCACAGTCTGATGTTGTCCAATTTCTCATGTTTTTACTTTCACAAATGGTGGGAAAAAATTGTTGAGACTTTCAGTGTTAGTGTTATGTATAAGATGACAAGTGACTGCGAGGTGTTCAGAACAGAAGATCATCTTATTGGATGACAGTTTGTTAATGTAGACAATCTGTTATTGTTTTTTTTTATCTTTTACCGTTAATTTATTGTGAATAAATGTAAGCCAAAAGCCAGTCCTTTATTGTGAAATTCTTGCTTAACTATTTTCTTACAGAACTGTAGGATTAAGTACTACAAGTGTGATGAGCTGGACCTTGTTGTCTCCCCTTTTATACTTTCACTTCCTTCAACAGTCATATCCTCGCATGGGGATTCAGTTTGTCAACTGACCCAACTTTTCCATTTGATAGACTAAATACAGTCTGTATGTACCATGTGATTTTTTTCTTTGCAGCCATTTACATGTCTACATAGACAAGACACCTTTGTGTTTTAGTGGGATTTTGTTCCATCTTGAAATTAATCATATATGCTTATTTATTGCGTATTGAATTGTTACCACCTTTCCAATATCCATCAGAATCAACCTTTTTGCTTAACGCTCTGTCAATATGCTTGTCACTGTATGCGTTCTTATGAGTAGCCTTGTGCTAAATTATTTTGTTACTTAAAGTTTCCAACTTTTACATTTTAATGTTTATAAGCAAAGGATATTAAATTGTACCTGTGTACGCTGGTCATGGATTTTAGATGATTTTTAGCACTCATGTCATACATGTCACCTTTTCTCTTCAATACCAAGAACAGGATTTGTTTCATCGAGTGTCCCAATTGAGGGGACACTGCTCATAATTTTGCATCCATAAACTGTCATGCTGATTCTTTTTTTAGAGACCCTCCTGGGTCGGACTGAATCTGGTCGGGAGTGTGTTGGTCTCGTCTTACATGGGAACCTTTGTCTTGAGGTTCTCCACATGGACACCCAATTTGTGAGCTTAGGTGCTGTAGCCTGTGACACAGCTAGTAATGTGAGCAGCCTCTTCAACCCTTTCTGAGTAATCTGTGGGGGTCCTCTGTGGAGCAGGGAGGGCTTTCCCTTTGTTCAAGAAGGCCGGATAAACACTTTTTGAGGCCATGGAAGCCATAGCATGACAACAATATAATGAAGACTCGGATACAAGGAATGCTTGAGCTAGCCTAAAGGCTGCATTATTCATACAGATATTTCAATTTTGTTATCTTTAAAGGCAGGCAACAGCATGCTTATGATGAAATATGTAAATTCGTGTGTCTGATTTGTGTATGCTGGTTCGAGACATGCCACAGCATTGCCCTTGATGTGCCATTGATCGGACACATGTGTCTGCTGCGTCCTTAAAGAGGGAACCTTTGGAAGTGGCCACAGACACCCTGGGTACAGTTGGCACCTCATGAGAACAACAGACATTGAAAGGCTTGGCTACTATCTAGCGAGGGGCAAGCTCAGCTGAACCGATCTGAGCTTTTGGACTTTATTGAGAACCAGGTGCAAGTTTTAAGGAGCGAATTTGAGTAGTTGAAGTTCCATTTCTTGTCCACTGTTATTTTTTAATGTGATTTTTGTGGTGTTTTTTCCTATTCTCTTACTGCTCACTATCCCTTGGTGTGGATTTGTTGTTGTTTGATAGAGTTCTGGTTGTCCATCTCGGTGCTTTTTTAGCAGTAAATCACATAATCTTTTTATTGTGATTTTTATTCATCTTTGAGATGGAAGTTGGTTACTGTTGTTAAAAACTTATCCAACATGCTGAGAATCAGAGTTTGAGAGGATGGTGGAGGAGGGAAAAGACTTTATGTATACATTATGTCTCAGTCTGCCTTTTGGTCATGTGATGTCTATTACGCTTTGACTAATTGAAGAGTATCCCCTGTAAAGTCTTTTTCCACATAAAAAATAATATGTTGAACCCAACAAAAGCTCATGTAAGATATTTTGTATATGACAGGTTTTTTTTGCTTGTTTTGTAGGGGGGAGTTGTTTCTTCTTTTTCAGTTAGTGTTCAGACTTTGACATAATATGATAGTTCATGCATTATGGTCACAAACTTCAGAGCGTTTCACCCCGACTCACATTATCAATCAAAATAACCAACGAATGTAGCATTATATATCTCAGATTGGCGACTTTCTTGTTTTTTCAACATTTGAGAAGCTGCGCGCGCCATGGACCAATGTGTCTACTAATAAAATAATCATTTAGTTGCCAAAAAGGATACAGGGAACACTTATCCATAGTTAATATTGCTCGAAACACCTGTTTAAGACATATCTTATGTATGTTTTAGAGCTTGATTCCTTTGATTTCTATAATGTAAGTCACTCCCTCCCCTACCCTGTTAAGGAATATTCAATATAGTCTTAAAATGCTATGATCCATTACTGGCTAAAATCGTTTTATGTCATAATTGCGAGTTAAACCCCCCCAAAAAAACCCACCTTATAATTTCACGTTTTAAACCCCTTTTTGGGCCCTGTTTTATTTCTTATTTTTTATGATTTATGACATGGAAATTTGTTTGAGCATTGAGGCTGCTTGTTAACATGGTGGTAGTACTGGTAGGCCATCATGTAAGGAATGCTGTGGTGAGACTGTTTGGCTTTGGTGTAGTCTGTCTGACATAACCGACGTTGATGATAAGCTAATCGTCTGAATTGATCACGTATGACCTCATTCCAATTTGTCTAGTTTATGACGTTCTAATGGGAAGGGATTTGCCACTCACCCACAAAGCTAACTGAACCGAACAGGACTGATGGTGAAAACTTTTTGCCGGTTATTCATTGATTTATTTCCTTTTTTTTTTGTTTCTTTATGTATTTAATTAGAAGGTTGAGTGCACAGGGAGTAGGCCCCATACGATTATTTTGTAAGCGATAGCAAACTTTCAATCGGCATGTCAATACTTTTTTCAGATAAAGATTGTCCGAATGTTCGCATTGTGTCTTTTTAAACCTGACTGAGCATGCTTTTGTGACCGTAAAGTCAAGAAGTTTTCTTTCTGAGCTGAGAATTTGTCTCTCTGTACTGTACCTAGAGAATTACTGGGAAGGTTATTTAGGGACATATATTATACTGCGACGTTTGTTGATGTGGGAATATCATTTCTATTCCTGTAATGAGCGTTCACATATTCCAGATCCGCGATGTGCTTTTTGTACGCTTTTAATTGCTACATATCTACGTATAGTACCATACCGTTGACAACACCTCCATGTCATTGAGGTGCAAGTACAGCATTTCTGTCAGCTAAACAACTCCATACTGTATCTTTTTCTGTGTGTGCGAGTGTGTGTATGTATATACATGTGTGTGTGTGCATGTACATGTATATATACGCTGTGTGTGTTTGTGTGTGTGTGTGTGTGTATATACGCACTCGTGCATGTATATACACATTTGTGTGTGTGTGTGTGTGTGTGTGTGTGTGTGTGTGTGTGTGTCTGTCTGTCTGTCTTAATCTCTGTGCTATATTCAGTAACTATCTAACAACCGAGTTTCACTTGTGCTTCAATTGAATTGAATGCAGTTTGTCTTGTTTGTTGTTTTGTGTGTCTTGCTTATATAGTTTACGGTAATGGGGTAGGCTAACTTATTTGTTTTAAAAGAACATAACTCATGCATAATATTGTACATGTCATTTATCAATAAAGACTGTTTAATTTAATTGCTTTTGCAGTTGTGGTCATTAGCATGAACAATTCACTTGTGATATAGACCTATGTGTTTGTGTGTGAGTGTGTATATGTGTGGTTGTGTGTTATGGTGAATACCTGCTTGTTTGTCTGTGTGCATTTGTAAAAGAGAGAGAGAGGGGGGGAGGGGGGAGAGAAGCAAACAGTTATTGATTGCCTTGTTGTTGACTTATGAGCCCGAAATGCATGCCCGATCGCCAGAAGAAAAACAGAGCCGTCATCATCATCAAGTGCCTGATCTGCAATGGGCTTTGGCGATCATATTTTTACAAATGATTCTTCTTGGGAATTTACAACGATTTTCCGTCACCTACTGCTGATTCGTGTAATTTTCTCTGCTAGCCAAGGCAGTGGGGGCTCTGATATGATTTATGGCCCCTACCGTCGCCAAGATGGTCCATCTATGACTATGATGAGCCTTTGAGATACTTATTGAAGCGCCCATGTCCCAGGGTTCTCCTCTACTCTCCGCGACCATAATTTTCCTCTTGATTCGTCACTGTTTAGCAGCTAACCTCCATATCTGGAAGCCATTCTTTTATCCACCACAAGAGGACACCCTGGGTTGGGTATGTGGACCCACCCATACCAAATCTAATGCACTTTAAAAAAAACACCTCAATAACAATACGGACGAAAAAATCAACATGTTCACCCCAATACTCTGTAAAGTTATACAGACATTCGTTAATCAAGCCCGTCGGACAAAGTAAAACATGGCAACGATAGAGACTAAAGAAGAGCGTATTATGTACACGTTATCAAGAGACAACAAAGTGAAAAACTGACATACATTTGTGGTGTTATCGCTAGGTATTTTGTTTAGTATTAAAAGGGCGTTAGTTCGATTCCCGCGGGGAAGAGGGAAGAATATTTTATCGAGTGTCTCCATCCTTCTACTGTGATGCTGTGGGTTATCCTTGTCAGCCTGGCTTAGCCATGGCAGGCAGGGCCGAGCTGCCTGCCTCCAAAATGAATCCCAGGAGAACTTTCAACATTTACTATCATTGTACAAACCCCATAGTAATACCTGCCAGTGAATGTAATACTCCGTCTCCTCCCCTCCCCCCCCCCTTTGCCCCAATCTGGAACTGTTTGACCTAGTGCACATTATCTCACTACCGGTACCCTAGAATTACAAAGTTTTATCTGCTCAGTCCATAGTTTTCATAAAATTGACGTTAAAAAATTGAACTGCTCAACATGTCAAGCTTTTTCGTGTGCAATTTATTTGAGTATGTTCGTAACGAATCCGAATAATCGTACGATTTTAATAGAGCAAATAGAATAGAATTAGAATATTATTTGGTCTTTAACCTCAAGGTCTTAGTAACTCAAAACGGTCACAAAATGTCAGATAAAACTTTGTAATTCTAAGGTAGCGATCTCTGAGCACCCTGGGAATCGCAATGGGAATTCAGCTATGTCTTATATGAATGGGATTTCAGCTTTGTCTTACATAGGAATGGGATTGCACCTATGGCTTAATAAAAAGGAATGGGACTACACCTTTGGCCTATGCAGAAATAATGGGACTTAAGCTTTGTCTTAAATATGAATGGATTTTCAGCTACCGTAAGTCTTATATCGTATTTGGATTTCAGCTTTGTCATCCTGCACAAGAATAAGATTTCAGCTAGGTCTTCTTATACAGTAATGAGATTTCAGCTATGTCTTACACACATGAATAGGATTTCTGCTTTGTCTTATATTGGAATGATATTTCAGCTATGTCTTATATAGGAGTTATATTTCTGCGTTGTCTTATGTAGTAATAATATTTAATTTCAACTATGTCTTATGGGATGATTTCTCGGCTATGTCTTATAGTTATACCTCTATAGCAATGAGATTTCAGCTATCTTATACAGTAATGGTATTTCAGCTGTCTTACACAGGAATAGGATTTCTGCTTTGTCTTATACAGGAATGATATTTCAGCTATATTATATATTATACTGGAATGATATTTCATCTTTGTTTTATAGGAATAATATCTCAGCTATGTCTGATAGTGATACAGGCGCATGAACCAGGGGGTTTTGCCCGTCGAGTTGCGCAGTGCCGTGTAATGCCGTCAGTGATTTCATTGATGACAGACCAAGCAAATGACACATCCTGTAGCTGGGTACTTGCGGGGCAGATGACAAATCTCAGGAAAAACTTGCCCTTGAAACTTGAGGGAATCAGGTGTATCCGGCGGTCGCTTTTCAGTTTTTCGTGGAGTTCTTCATTCACGCAGTTACAGTGTTTGAGGCGGAAGCAGACGAGACCTAGAGTGACGTCACCAATCAGCTCAAACCTTGAGTCGGCTTTTACCATCTGGGCGAACTGTTTTGCCAGATGGACATCCTGTTGAAAATAAAAAGTTAGATTAGGAAGAACTTTTATGTTTTAAAATAATGTAACAGACATAATAATGTTTTGATGACATTGGCAAACTCGACTCATGTGAACATTTTTTTAGATAAAACCTTAATGATAAAACATTTTATCTTCAGCGTCCATGACATTCTCCCAGACCGCGGGTTCATCAGCACTATCAGAGGACATGTGAATAAACTGCAAGAGGCTGGATGGCGTGAGAAAATCACAGGGGGCTTTCGTGGCCAAGAGGTTAAGGTGTTGGCCTCTCATTCCAAGGTTCGAATCCGGGTAGCGACCGAAAAATTT